TCTCGAGTACGAACGCAAAACGGGTAAACGTAAATTCGTCCGGCAACTTGCTATGTTACTAGTAGCCTGGTCTACTCTGTATAACCCTGACGAAATGAAATTTTGGCAAAAATGTTTAAATTTGTTGCATAATTTTAGATACCGAGCAGCTCTTCATTTTATACTTTATAGAGCAAATGATTGTAACAGATATTTTATTTAGATTAAAGCTGCAAAAATTAGTTTAAACCGAATTGTATTATCGCTATGTTGATCACATTGCGCCGTGTTCAGCAATGTTGTCCTTTATTATTTGACAATTATCCTAGTGTCAGTCATTATTTTGTATAACATAGTGTTGTTAAATCTTTGTGAGTAATTCTCGTTTCTTTGCCTATTTTTATAGTTTTTTTTAAATTGCACTTTTAAGAACTAAATTTTCGTGTTTTTGCATTTCTTGAAATTGTTTGTCGAAAATATGCCGACGCATTTAAACAGCCAAAGCAAAGAGCTTGTAGCTTTCCTGTTTTTTTTTAAACAATTTTGAACGAGAACGTGACAATAAAGGTCCTTTATTACCCTTGTAGTAGACAGTCAGAAAAGTAAGTTTGATTGATAAGCACTTTATACCATTTTCAAAGTTACTTTTTATAAAATTCTGTGATTATTAGTTTGCGCATTAATAGCGCTCTTACTTTTTATTACCACTTATGGCGTTGTAAGATGTACGTCAATAAATAAATAACTCATAATAACGCTTATAATCTTCATAATGGACTAGTTTTTGCCAATATGTAATACGTAAAATAAGCTATAAAACAAATAAATCAATTAATTACTAAAATACACACACCGGAAAAGTCTAGGGATATTACAATTTTATCCAGCCATCGTCAGTAATTTTATTATTTGCATTTCTGATATAATAAAATTAAAATAAACAAATAGTTTGCAGGACGTATTGGAAATAAAAATGCGAAATTTGCCGAATTTTTCAAGTTTACCTTGATTTTTATTGAACTCAAAAAAATACACACATTTTTTTTTATTCTAACTGTGAATTAAAAAAAAAAGATAAAAACCATTTTTACTTAATAAAGGGTATAGCCTCCTCTACTGTTCATTACAGCCCTACATCGTCTCTCCATGCTCCTGATCAGGTTGTCGATCTCTTCTTGAGGTACAGCCTGCCACGCTGCATTCACGGCCCGAACCAGATCCTTACGAGTTTCACGAGGCATACCCATTCTCAAAATTCTTCTTTGGACCGCGTCCCATACGTGCTCGATGGGGTTGAGGTCAGGAGATTGTGCCGGCCAGGGTAAGATGTTTAATTGATGAGCATTGATAAACTCACTTACCACTCTGGCTGTATGAGGCCGTGCATTGTCATGCATGAGAATGAAGTTTCTCCCAAAATCATTGGCATATGGTAACACGACAGGCTCAAGAATTAAATCACGATATGTGATTCCTGTTAGAAACCTTTCAAGAAAAACGAGATCGGTTTTTCGGCCTAACTGGGCTCCTCCCCAGACCATAACTGTTCCACCTTGATAAGGGTGCACTTCCTGAACATGATCCAACCGAATAAGTTCTCTCCATACCCTAAGCCTTCTCGAATCCGGATGAATTCCAAAGCGTGACTCATCCGTAAAGAGAACATTGGCCCATTGTTCATTCGACCACTGAACATGATCTTGAGCCCACAAATATCGTACCTCTCGATTTCCTCTCGTTAAGGGTTGAGCTCTCCAGGGGCGTCTGCTTCTTAAGTTGGCCTCTCTTAATCTATTGCGAACAGTGTCAGGACTAACGGTTACATTATGTGTTTCCTGGAGAATTAAACTAAGCTCTGGTGCTTAAGAGTCGGTCGGCGTCGAGCATTTAATTGTAAAAAATGATCTTGCTGAGGGGTAGTAATGCGATGTCGCATTGTGTGCCTTTCAGCAACATCACCACTTTCACGGTAGCGTCCACTTAATCGCGATATTACACTTTGCGTTGTATTTAATGCTCTAGCTACGTCGATTTGGCGCATTCCAGCTTCGAGCATACCCATGGCCCTTAGCATTTCGTCTCTGTTAAGATGTCTACACTCCATAATGTCGTTTAATACTAAACAGAGTTATTTGAATGAATTCTGGCCAGTTATCATAAAAGCATAGCCAGTACAGGTTAAATTCGAACAATTGATGCTAGGTGCTTTTTATACATTTGACAAAAAATGCACAAACACTTCTGCAAATATCCCAAATTTAGAAATAACTAGTGTGACTACTCCGTTTCAATCGAATTAGAAAGAATCGGCCTACAAATATGTGGTTGTTTATTCAAAACATTTATTTTTAACTTTAATAAAATGATATCCCTAGATTTTTCCGGTGTGTGTATTAGTTATTAAATTAAAAATAAAACGTAAAAATCTTTAAAAAATGATAAAATAAATATATTACTTTTCACTTTTAAATTAAGATTCATCTCATAAATCCATCACAATGCAATCACGTGCATCGGAAATTATTTTGCGATTACCATATACAGGGTGGCGCACCTCATTCGCCTCGGATGATTATACGAAAACGGAAAGATGTAGAAACAAAATATTTTATGGGTATATGTGGGGAGGGAATGTGCACAATTTAAAATTATTTTGAAATGTACAGGGTGTTTCAGAACTAAGATCCATACCAAAGTTATATCTTTTCTTATGGAACACCCGGTATTTTATTTCAATTTGGATTCTTGGGCCCAAAAAAGGTATTTATTATAAGGGTTTAAAATCTTTGGTTTATATTAATATGTTTAAAATCTTTGGTTTTTGAGATATTTAAGGATATTTAAAAATGCATGCTACATTAGAATAGATTATTAACACCCTGTACATTGCTCTTCAGAACTAATTCCTGCGCTGACTTTTAAGCCAGAGAAATAAACTTTACTGAAAAATTTGATTGCTTCGTTTAATGTATACAGGGGTACCAAAAATTGCTGGTCTATTTTAAATATTTATTTTACATAAAAACTATTTGACATAAAAACCCTGTATTTTTTTAAATAAATCGAAGCAGATTCAAATGCTCTTTTAAACTGTATTAGGGTTTCCTATACCTATCTAGCTCAGATTTTGAATAAAAAGCAATTTTTTAAATAAAATGGCAATCAAGATGGTTGGTTTGGCAATTTTCTAGTTAAAGTTAGTAACTCTTTTCAAAATCGACATTAGTTTATGGACATTATTATTTAGATTTATAACAGTTTACTTAAATTTAGCTACAGTAGTTTAATAAGTAAGTATTCATTATTTTATCAAGAAAAATAAAGCAGTATCTGCTGGTGGAACGAATGGATATGTTACCAGTGATTTTGTGAGGAAAATTGCTTCTTGGCCTCAAGGGCTTATGCTCAAAGATATCCAAATAGGAATCTTCCTGATAAGCTTTCCTTGAAAAAATACTTTTCTATTTCGCAGAACTATGGTAGTGTGGTATATAAAAACCTAGTATAGTAAACGCCACGAATGTTTGGGAGTGATTTATCGGTCGCTACCATGTGAACTAATCTGTTCAAGGTCACATAAAACTTAATTCCAGTGCCGTGGTGTTTCAAGTCATTATAATATTCAATATATAATCTGTTGTAATTTGTTGTTTTAACTGTCAAAGTCTTGTCAAAACATATATTTAAAAACACTAAATCACCACAATACACCAAAACACTTTTACTTTTACACTGGACGCGCGTTTCGCAATCATCTGCTGATGATGCTAACATGGTTAGCGAAACGCGCGTCCAGTGTAAAAGTAAAAGTGTTTTGGTGTACTGTGGTGATTTAGTGTTTTTATTTTGCTGTGTAACACCAAAGGTTCCAACCCTCAACTGTAAACATATATTTGGTTATAAATATAAAATGGAATGCCCCATTGGTCGCACTGCAAGCACACCAATGGACTGACGTACAAAAACGAATCAATCAAAGAAATGCGATATAGTATCGTCTTTGTCAATCACGCTAACATTTTAGAATAAGTAGGAGGAGCGCAGGCAGATGATTAGACCGGACCTTTAAAAACCCACGTCTGCGGTAAAAATTTACGTATTTAATGTAAAAATGATAGCGCGCGTGTCGATTCTAACTTCATCAAGCGATGAATCACTCCCAAACATTCGTGGCGTTTACTATAGGTAGAAACCTGTCGTTACAAAAATGAATTTGCCGTAATTGGCTCTTTTATAGAAAATCCATATAGGTACCTATCTACAAGTGAACGTAAAATAAATGAAAGAACTACTTCTTCGTTTTTCTTGATAGAATAATAAATACATATTTAATAAATATTATTTAAAAAACTACTGTAAGCAAATTAAACAAAAATAAACTGCTATAAATTTAAATAAAGTCCATAAACTAATTTTGATTTTCAAAATAGCTACTAACTGTCACTAGAAACTTGACCATCAGCCATCTTGGTTGCCATTTTATTGAAAAATTGCTCTTTATTCAAAATCTGAGCTAGATAGGTATAGGAAACCCTAATATAGTTTGAAAGAGCATTTAAACCTGCTTTGATATATTTAAAAAAATACAGGGTGTTGTATTTGAAATTAGAAAGTTTTTATGTAAAATAAATATTAAAAATAAACCAGCAATTTTTGATACCCCTGTATACATTAAACAAAGCAATCAAATTTTTCAGTAAAGTTTATTTCTCTGGCTTAAAGGTCAGCGCAAGAATTAACTCTGAAAAGCAATGTACAGGATGTTAATAATCTATTCTATTGTAGCCTGCATTTTTAAATATCTTTAAATATCTCAAAAAACAAAGATTTTAAACATATTTAACCTTTATAACAAATACCATTTTTGGGCCCAAGAATCCAAAAATGAAATAAAATACAGGGTATTCCATAAGAAAAAATATAACTTTGGTATGTATCTTAGTTCTGAAACACCCTGTACATTTCAAAATAATGTTAAATTGTGCACATTGCCACCCCACATATACTCATAAAATATTTTGTTTCTACGTCTTTCCGTTTTCGTAAAATAATTACTCTTATTCAAATATGCGATAATTATTTTGAGTAGTGTATTAGGACACGTATCACCAGATATCAAACATACCGGTACTGTCGTTCGCTTTGTCTATGGCACTTTTAGGATCTGGAGCTAGACTGCTCCAGTCCGTTTCTTGGCAAGAGCTGCCTACAGGTCTGCACACGTTCCGGACCGTTGTCGAGTCGACGCAGACTGTCTCTATTGAGAAAAATAGACCCACCAACGAATCGATCCACTCCAACAACGAATCGCCTCGTTTTTGCGAGTTCTTGACCGCGTTGCGCTCCGAAATTTCTCTCTCGGACACATTGGGCAGGAATTTGGCAAAGGCTTCGCCCAGGTTAGAGTTCATGGTCGGCCCGGGATGTAGCATCGACATTTCGGGACTTCCGTAATGGTACAGCATGGGCATAATTAAAAAAGACACTTGCGCCAATAAGCTATCGCTGTAAATTATTCTCACCTTCCACGATCCTAAAAACATAAAGAATGTTAGTGATCGTTCAACGCTACGTCATCATGGCCTGAATTCTATAAGGCTGTATTCCGTTGCAACACCAGGCGAACCAGACCGGTAAACTACGGTCCTGAAAAACATCGGTTTAATACGGAACGGTTAGGTAAAATACTGGAAACGTCAAATGTTGACGTTTTCTTAATTTCAATACCTCTATTATAAAATTTATTTTTTATGCATTTTTAATGTACCTATTCTCTGCTTTTACGTTTGCTCCTTCTTTTTAATGGAGTTTAATATTAACTCGTTAGACAGCTCAAGTGAATATTTGCAGGTCCAATATTAAAACAGATCAATAATAAGTAAACAAATCTAATTAATATTTATATTTTTATAGCTTACAAAACATTAATGATTACTTCTTGTCTTGTTTTTCATGTTTTCTTTAAATTTTCCCGACTTTAAGAAACAATGGCTGCATGATAAGTTTAAATGGTCCTAAAAAGTCATTCTGTTTAGTTAATGAAATGTATTTACCTTTACTGCCTACCTCCATTGCTTTTCGATGTAAAAACAAAATATTATATCAAATTTTAGAAATTAAATGAGAATTTTACTCGAACTCCCAATATTTGCTTGATTTTTCTCACATAAATGACATGATTGACAAACGAAACCAGAAAAACCAGCCTTCTCGCGCTGGTTAGTTTGGTGACAGTTATAACCGAATTTTTCAGGAACCGTGTTCCGTTGTTATAAAATTTTCAGGAAACCGATAGAAACGGAACATAAAACCATAACCAAGGTAAGCAACGGAATACACCCTAAGTTTTAAGTCCTTGACTTACGTCATTTTCTTTCAAGTCAAGTCATTTTTGTAAATACTTAAATCAAAATAACATTATTTAAGTATTTTTTTCTACTTAAATCACGATAATCTGCAAGTTAAGTCAGTAAAATGACTTAAATCAAAATAATTTCCCTCCCCCAAGTCAAGACAACCAGAATTCAGTTTAAATAATAATTTTTTTAACAATAATTTTATTTAATAAATAATATTTAAACGTTATTTATAATTGTTTTAATGCTTAAATTTATACGTGTTTATCTATATTAACACTATACTGTTAACGCAAAAATTATAGCTGATTGGTTTAAAAAAACTGGAAAATTTATAAACCGTATAGTAAAAAATTGCTCTATCTCTATTACTATTTATTTTAGAAAAAAAATGATTGAAGATAAAATATTCTAAATTTAATTCTCTACAAAAAACATATCTTTAGTTTTTTCGAAAAAAGTTATGCAAACGGAGCTATTTGAAAAAAAACGAAAAAATCCAAAATGGCTGTTTTTTTTTCAAACTTCCCCCACTGAAACCAAATGGGACTTTTGAGGGGTTAAATAGGAGATCATTATCTACATATTCTCGTTGAGATTGGTTGGTTACTAATATTTTCCACCTTTACATAATATAATACTCGGCTACGTCACAGATTATACAGATTATAAACTTTGTTTTTTCTTTATTGTTTTTCGTGGCTCCAATTTTCAGAATCGGACACTATTTAGGTTACTAGTTTGCGCACATAGCACGGCCAGTTATGGCCTCTAAAATTGTGCACAGCCCCTGACCGGCACAGTTATTAGAGAGATATCGGAAAACCGAATAGCGTCATGCAGCATTTACGCGTACCTTATCATGGTTACGATATGCGCGAGTCAATTTTTAACGCAACACCCGCTAATAACGGTACCGCCTGACGTAATTTGCGGATCAATTACACCAAGCGCTATTTCTAAATAACGTTTAAAAATTGCTTAAATGGGCATGTGCGGGTATTTGATAACCGGGGCCGGCCGGCGATATCTTTTATTTTAGGTTATGTTTGAATTGTTTTGAATTATTACTTTAGTTTTATTAGGTAATTTGATATTTAAGTAGCTGGGATTAGTTTTAATTAAATAAATATGGCTCAAAATATGGATTCCACCTCTTCCAATATTAAAGAACCTATAAAGAGACTGAGGTTTACAGCAGATGACGACTTTAAGAGAATTTGTTGCTTGTTGTCCTAAACCCACTGGCAGACGTTGAACAATAAAGCACTGGAAATAAGCACTTTAGCCCTTTAGTTTTAAAATACCTAGCAAACAAAACAATTTCAAAGTTTTAAATTCAAAGTTAGGTTAGGTTTGTCTAAAATACCATCAAACAAAACAATTTCAAAGTTTTAAATGCAAAGTTAGGTTAAATTTAAATAGCGGACGCGACGCGAACAGAATTATTTCCGATCCGATAACTATAAATGAAGAGAGTTAATACCACCTCACGTAAAGGAAATAACACCTAGCCTTATTAACGTCCACGCACGCTATTCGGTTTAGCGATATCTCTCTATTACGCTGTTTATTGTTATTTTACGCGAGTTTATTTTTGCGCACAGGAAATTTTACTCGTTTGCACATCGTCATAAAAAACAATTTTCGTACCACGAATTAGGGACAAGATTTTTATCTGTATACTTATAGGATACCTAATCTGTGGCTACGTTTACTGGCCTACTAATTTATTGCACTAATTTCGAGGTTCCGAATGAAGCATAAATAATTATTCTTACTATATTACCTGGTATATGAGGTTGCCTCAAATTTGGTTTTACAAATCCTACGAGCGAACCCTCCTCTATGGAATATCCTGACACGTCACGCAGCGTCCCCGTCGGATCGATCCACAAACACGTCATATTGTACTGTTTGGATGTTTTGAGCGAGCTAAACTTGTAAATTAGCACGGGGTCCGAGTAGGGAGATAAAATCCTTAAAAAATTCCTAGACAGCTGTTCTTTTTGATCATACTCTGAACTAACCCCTAGCGAGATAAGGGATTCTATCAACGGATTAGTTTTAACCTTAATCGTTTTGCTCACAGGCTTCACAGCTACTTCAATGTCACTGATGTTACCGTTCCAGGAACTGTTATAAAGAAACAGCGTGTACTTGTAGTTGTCTTTCAAATGGAACGAATGAACTTGCAGAAGATTGTGGAGCTCTATATTGCATGTAGTCATATTTGACAGTTTTCTAAAAACTGTTCTGAAAACACTGTTGCCTAGTGTCATTAAGGAATCGTCTAAGGCCACGCCCAAGTCGTGGTGGTGATATAAATTCTGCCAGTACGAATATAGATTTTGAACCTGAAATTTGATGTTTTTAGACTTTCCCAAGTAGCATTTTTAGACACAAAATCGAAACAAAATCTCTGCTAAGAAACATTGCGAAACAGTTTCGTCCATAGACTTAAAATAAAATATAGACTGAGCATCTCATTCATAAATAGCTGGAAAATGCGGTCAGACAATGTCTTGTTATTGTTTTAGGTTATAACGAGTGCGACACGAGCGATAGATAGGTTGTCTCCGTCGTAACGGTTGTTCCCTGACGACGCTGACGAAAAATGCAACACTGTCTTTCGTTTCTCAAGTATACCTGAACTCTCCGTATCATAGCCGGGTATATTTTTTATTTTAATGAAGCTATAGTTCAATTAAAAATATATCGTATTTAAATTTTTTTATATTTTATTAAGATTAAGAGATGTTTTTTAAATAAAAGTTTAGAAAAAACGTCTTAGAGTCCAAAAAGAATAAAAATAATAAAATAAATGTTATAGAAGGAATTTTAATAATCGAAATTACGTATTTTTTGAAATTAATAATAAATTATTATTTTTAGTAAAACATTTACAACCCTAATATTAATCAAAACAGGATCTATTCTACAGATATAATAGAATCGGTGACGAGTAATAAAATTTGTAATAAAATTTTCAGGAAATATAACGATAATAATATGACGAGGGAAAGAGAAAAAACTTTATGATTGTTGTAATTTTTTTTCTGGTAAGTGATGTCTTATTATGTAAATTAGAGAAAACAGAAATCTGTTCCATTAAAGCAAGCTTTTAGAAGTGGATAAAATGAAAACTACATTTATTTAACTCGGTAATGTCTTTATTACACCGGGTGCGTCCCAAAATTGGCTCATCCCCATAATTTTTTTATTTTTACAAATAAAAAAACAAGATTTGGTATGTTAGTATATGACATAAATTAGGATTGATTGACGCATTCAATTGTTTTTGGTCACTTCCTGTTTCACCGGAAATTACTATAACTTTTGTTTTTTAAATAGCAGCCTCGGTATATTTCTACTTTATTCGATAGAAAATGACACTCTGAATAGAATGACATATCATATGTCAACTTACGACATTTGGTTGCCTACCGGTCGAAAGTCGTTTCAAGACTTAAATGGATTATTTAAGTCAAATTTCTTGCAAATTTGGCACTGGCGAACCATATTTTATAGTTCTTGAACAGAAAAAGTCAATAAAATAAACACTTAAGGACTACAAGCTAAGAAAATGCGTTAATACAGCCGGGGACATAGCGGCAACAAAGCTTTACCGCACACGTGCAACGCGTACTACAAGGTAATAAATGAATGAATAGGCGACCTCGCCTCTAATCGGTATTGTTGCCATATTGTAAAGAACTTATCCTTTTTAAATAGTATCCTACTTATAATTTAGTAGTATAAAGGACTATTTAATACATCTATGGAATATTAAAACCTACTTTATTAAAATGTAGTATTAATATATCAATATATGTGTATAATAAGAAAAAAAATATTGTTAATATTAAAGACGCGACAACATAGGCTGGATGAGGAAGGCTCGGTCGACTGTACCCAGAAGTAAACATGTGTACAAAAAAGATTGTTTAACCGCGTTTAGATGTAAATAGTGTAGTCTATATTTTATTTTAAGTCTATGGTTTCGTCACATTTTTGATACATAAAATTCGCTTTTTGTTTTTTAAACGTTTTACCAAAATATGGTTTCGCTACATAACCTATAACAATAAAGATCTTAGTGTCACAAATTTTTCGAAACTTTTAAGAAACAGATGTGGCTCACATTTACAGATTTCGTACCCGTTTTGCGCTTGAAAAGTTTCCATAATTTATATGTGATTAAAATAAATAATTTTCATCACAATGGTAGATAAAAATTGATATATGTTTTTATTATTAATATGATGGAATGTTTATTATGTTGGCAGTAAATAAATGATTAAAATAAAGTTTATAGTGTTTTTGTTTTAAATGGCATAATTTTAAAAAAGCCTAAAATAAAACACATTTTGTTTTTATAAAAAATAGTCTTACAGAAACTAAAAAGTATACTTAAAGCAAAACAAATGGGATAAAAATAGATCTTATACAATCGTTAAAGAGGGATATTAAGATTATTTGTTTAATTTATCTCTTTTTACGAAATATATTTAAATGTGATTGTTAACCCGGTTAATCTAATGATCCAACCGTTCGTAATTAAACTACCAGCTGATTACTCTCAGCACTGATCTTGGAACAGCTGATTAGTAAACTACCTAATCTAGGATTTTATTTCCGAAAACCCTTAAGGTTTCCATTTATTGTCGATTCATTTTCGAAACACCGGTTTCTCTCTTTTTAAACACAAATATGATATAATGTAGATGATTTGTGTTCGACTCCATGTCAATTTTATAAAATAATGAATTAAAATTCGGCCTGTTGGCTAGTGATAGCGTTTTTAACTAAAAATATATGTTTTCATCGGCTGTTGAGCTTTTAATCTCATAAGAACGCTTCTACCTACATTGATTTTTATATTTTTATTTTCAAAACCATGATATAGAGATAAAAATAAAAATATATATTTCAAACAAAAATATTTTGTAGCAACAAATAATGATATATAGAAGGGGTATTAAAAATATGAAAGTACATTATTAAATTAAACCTTGAATTTGCTTTTGCCAGACATTTTTTATTTTTTGTACGAGAAAACCTAAAAACAGATTTTAAGACAAAAAATGATGGCGGAGATCGACATTGTTAATGGTTCTTTTCATTTTGAAATCCACACACAGACATAGACTATTTTAGTTTGATATTTTGTTTCTTCGCATTTAGAAACAGTGACTGCTGAAAACGGGAACATCTTGGACACAATTTACAAAAAATGTTTCGAAACATTTCCTCTAAACGTTTTGATTCCGCATCGAAACAATTCAGGAAACGGCTAGTGCCACCACATTGGAACACATGTAATAGAGCCATATAAAATATATAGGTTTCAAAAATGTTTCCTATTTGTGGCATATCGTTTTTATTTTGTATCAAGAAACAGACACAATTATTAAAAACATTACCTAAAATGTGTCCAAAAATGCTACTTGGGTTGTTTCATGAACGACGTAATATGCTGCGTGGATATGCTTCTTTTTTATTATTTTTATTCAGTTTCATTAATTCGTTCATAAAATTGGCATAAAAAAAACTAATAAATAAAATAACAACAGCGCATACGGGCAAAATGTTAACATACCTGTTTAGATGGTTTTTCCATATTATACAGCCATAGTTCTAATTGTAAAATAACCATTTGGTTTACGATTGGCTCAAATTTTCTGGCAAAGTATAGCGGTCTGTAAAAGAAATAATTAATTTTTCATTAAACCATTCCTAATAATAGAGATGTCGAAAAATATCGATAAATAAACGGCTATTATCTGACAAACGAATCTAAAACAGCGGAAGGAACTCGGGCAAAAAAAGTCGATGTTGTCACGTTTAATTATAGAAAAGCAAACTTGCTCGATATTACCTATAAATTGAATATATTTTAGATCATTTCAGCATACATAATTATATATATGCTAATATGTTGACGTAGTTCTTATTGTAATCTATACTAATATATAAAATCCTTAAGTGACTGACATATTGATTAATCACGATCCTGTTCAAACCACTCAACGTAAGAAGCTCAATTTTGGTATACAGGTTGATTCTAGGGTTTAGAGGTTCGATAAAAAGGGATTTTTCGAAATTCCAGTTCCAAGAGGGTAAAACCACCCCTCAAATATTACAATATTTTTTATTTAAAAAACGGTCAAGTTTCCGAAAAAACGCTTAAACACGTATATTTTATTTTTTTACATATTTTTAGATTTTTTAAAAATGTATACAGGGTGTTTCGAAAAATCTGGTCATTGATTAATCACGATCCTGGAAAACAGGATTGATTTTAGGGTGTAGAGGTTCGATAAGAAGGGATTTTTCGAAACTCGAATTCTAAGGGGGTGAAACTATCCCTCAAATATTAAAATATGTTTTATTTAAAAACCGGTGAGTTTTTCGGTAAAACTCTTAAACACGTATATTTTATTTTGTTGTTTTACATATTTTAAGATTTTTTATAAATTTATACAGGGTGTTTCATAAAATATGACCATTGAGTAATCACGATTCTGCTTAAACTGCTTGACGTTTAAAGCTGATTTTTGGCAAATGGATTGACTGTGGAGTGTAGAGGTTCGATAAGGAGGGGTTTCTCGAATCTCAAATTCCAAGAGGGTGAAAACGCCTCTCAAATATTACAATATTTGTTATTTAAAAAACGGTTAGTCTAGGACAAACATAATTAATTTTGTTTTTTTTACATATTTTGAAATTTTTTAAAAAATCATACAGGGTGTTCCAAAAAATTGGGTAATTTCTAAACCACGATTCTGCTTAAACTGCTTGACCTAAAAAGCTTATTTTTGGCAAACGGATTTTTCGAAAGTCAAATTCCAACGAGATGAAACTACCCCTCAAATATTACAAAGTTATATAATATTATCGCCATATTGTTTTTTTCTCATGCTGACATAAATGTGAGAAAATTTTATCCAGTTTGTATGTTAATGGAAATTCTTGCTTTGTTTTATCATCACCATTACAAATGATTAATTCGACGCGAACAAAGTCGCTGGTACACGCTAGTAATGTATATTTATCTAATTAACTGATTTCGTTCATTCTGCCTATTATAAAAGGTAAAGTATTTCCTTAAGATAACGTCCGCTTAGGGTAAGCTGGCAACGCTGACAAAATTCATCATGGCATCCCGGATTCAACCAGTCTGGTCGAGATTCTCGCGCGTCTTGTCGCCATTAGCCTCAACTTTATCTTCTAGGAATAGTAGAAACAGTCACTACTATTGAAAAATCCAGTGGCGGTGTTATTGTATTGTGTTTTATATCTTTAACTTGATTTGTGTTTATTGTAATTAGTACACGCGTTTTTTAACAAATATTACTATATTTGGCAAATGACTAAACAAAATGTAGGTACATTTAAAGTAAAATAATATTATAAACTTTACTGGAAAATATTATAAAAATTCCTGATATATTTTTATGAAACCCCGCACGCTCGTGGATATTTTATGAATGAAATCGGTCATGATTTTAGAAAATTGCGATCCCCTTGCCGTTACCCCGTTGTTTCAGATCCGTTTGTCAGACTGTAGGTCGTTAGTGTGCGTTGTATCATTTGATTTAATAGTTTTAGAGGTAGCAGCGGCCTGGCCGGTGCGACCTGGCTGTCAGTGTGTTCGAGCTCCAAAATGTCTTACAACTAAAATATATTACCTAGACAGAGTGTTTAAAATTTTCGGCCAATCTTCCGACCTAAAATCGTTCGGACTGCATCCGCACCAATCTACCACGTGCTTGTACTGACACTTGCACCCTAATTTTCTCTTCCAATTGGTTACGTGAAGATTATTGTCCACGTACGTGTTACAAAACTTGGAATTTCGCAGAGCCGTGTGAAAAAAACTTTCGGCTGGCAAAAGGGTGTGCTTGAACACTTTCAGGAGACCCTGGATCAAACTGTCCGGTTCTGGATCAGCGATATACTGCACGAAAGGCCTGGATAGGGCTATCCAATCGCTGCCCCCGTCAATTTGTATTCCCAACGGCAATTTCCGGTTGCCAACGCGCCACATTCGATATTCGCACTCCACAAACGTCTTGTCTAATCCTTGCTTCTGAATAAATCTTTGGACCTTAAATATACCGGGTGTTGTAGATAGTGTGGTAAATGGAAATGGAAATATTGGAAATGTCCAAACGTGTCTCGGAAATATTGGGAATATTGGAAATATTTTTAAAAATACTTAAATCTTGTCATTAATGATTCAAACCCGATGTTCATTAATATATCTTTCATATTTTGTAACCCTATAAACATTAAACTTACTATAGAACAGTTTTACAAACATATAATATGGTGAATATACCGAGTTTGAGGATTCACCTACTTATTTGCAACCTCGCATTTCTACGGAGAAATAAAACCCATTCATTATGCTGCAGATTTACTAAATTTAAAATCACAAGGTTCTGAACTTGAAGAAACCCAAATTCTTTCTGCCATAGAATGCATATACTTAATATATCAAAAAATAAACTCAATAAAAAGGAGCAAGAAATAATAGATGAAATAGCAGATTACCGTTGTAGAAGTGGCAAGTTATTTGGAAATAACTTCATATGGAAAAGTAGTTTTGATAACCCAGTCTCCTGGTGGAAAGGACTGGGTTCTTCATCTTCATTATCACAAGTAGCTTCACGAAGTTTGATGATGCCAGCATCTTCGGCTGCCAAGGAACGCAGTTTTAGCGTTTATAGTTATATTCATTCAAAAAAGAGAAACAGGCTTACTAATGATAGAGCCGCTAAGCTACTCTATGTATCCCACAATGAAAACTTGATGAAGAAAATAGGAAACGGCAATAGATCAATTTTTATTTCCGATATTATTGAAGATTTTGAGGAAGTAGACTGGCAAAAAGATGTTATTGAGTGTGATGCTGATGACAGCGATGAAGATATGCCTCTTGCATTGCCTGGAAACTTATATGGTGAAATTTTGATAAAATAATTTAGTACCCACTAAAAACACGGTATGTCGCTAGTGGTAGGGAAAATAATTTTTTGAGATTACTAGTTTATTTGGTTGTCTGTGATATGCATATACAGGGTGTTTCCTAATTAATCTAAAAAATAAAAAATCGTTAGAAAACGGCTTAAGGAGGGCTCTTAATAAGTATATTTATTTTTTTCTCGGTAACCGTTTGATGAACAAGAAAAACTCAAAAGATCAATTTTGTTGAAAAAGGATGGCCAGTCAAGAAAAAAATATATTTTCTTTAAAAAAGCAGTAGGTAGCGTACCATTTATGTTAAGCAAAATATCGATTTTTTTTTAATTTTTAACACCCTGTAGATCAGAAAGGAAGTACTTTAGACCCAATGGTTATATAAAAATTGTTTTAAGAACACATGAGGAATGACACCACAATTCTTTAAACTAATTAGAAAACACCCTGTATATTGTCAACTCGACAATGATTGTTGATAAATCAAAAAATACCTTTTCTGTGAAAAAAGCCCGATTTTCGCAGGAAAAATTTTGGTTTTTATTGAATTTGGGCCTGCGTCTGCAAATACCGGTATGTTTTTTAATATCCTATCTATCTAAATTTTAAATATCATAGTCAGAAATAGTTTTATTATTTATTAACTGTAAAAATGGTATACTTATAAGTTTTATCAAATATTGTGATTTACTTTCTACCTTGTAGTCAAAATTTATATTTAATAAACTGTAAAATATATATTCTTATGTTTTATGATATATATTCTTATGTTTTATTAAAGTTACTCTGATATACTAATATATCAGTGTAACTTTAAAACTAAATCCTTTGAAATCAAATATAAACATAAAAAATATTTACAGCAGAAAAGGCGAAGGCGCTGGGTTAAACGTAGTCTCTACTAAGAACACGGAGGGGCGCTTTGACCCAAAATTTTACTATTAAGTTTCATATCTATCTTAATAGAAGATTATTTTCTTTTATGTATGGCCTCTTGTTCGACTAGTGTGTCAAAAATAATTCTTTTGTACAAATTTAACCTAAATTTATTTTCTAAGTTGAAGAATAACTCATTTTGTGTTTTGCGATGTTTTGTTATGATTTTTATAAATAAATATTTCAGTTTTTCTTATTTTTTTAAATATTTCATATATTTCCAATATTTCCATATATTTCCAATGTTTCAGGAAATATTTCCGAAAATATATTTCTGGAAATTTTACATCACTAGTTGTAGATAATAGAGTAATTATTGAAAAAAACTGGAAATCGTCCTTTTTTCATAAAAATTTCATCCTATTTTGAAGGCGTAGATCACGAATCTAAACTTTTTTGGCGGACTCAGAAAAATCCAAAAATATAGCAAAACAATTTGTTAGGTATTTAAAGTATAAAACGGTGCAAGTTCCAAGGGACCTACAGGAGAGGCAGCTGACACTTGCGCGAGACCAGCCTCTACAAATGACACACAAGGTACCTAGAGCCTACCTCTAGAAGTGACTGACTCACTGATTAATCACGATCCTGCTCAAACTACTCAACGTAAGAAGCTCAATTTTGGCATACAGGTATAGGTTGATTCTAGGGTGTAGAGGTTCGATAAGAAGGGATTTTTCGAAATTCCAGTTCCAAGGGGGTAAAACCACCCCTCAAATATTACAATATTTTTCATTTAAAAAACGGTTAGGTTAGGTTAGGTTAAGTTTCCGAAAAAACGCTTAAACATGTATACTTTATTTTATTTTTTTACATATTTTAAGATTTTTTTAAAATGTATACAGGGTGTTTACTGTACTGCTTAAAGCGCTTGACGTATAAAGCTGATTTTTGGAAAACGGATTGACTTTAGGGTGTAGAGGTTCGATAAGAGGGGATTTTTCGAAACTCGAATTCTAAAGCCCCGTTCTCAGAACAACGTCGTGTCGCGGGCGACACAGTTTGACATTTCAAACAACCAATGAGAACTGTACTAAATTTAAAATTGACAGCTGTTTGAATTTTGTACAAATCTGATTGGTTCTTTTGTCGTGTCGCTGGCGACAGTCGCAGTTCTGAGAACGGGACTTAAGGAGGTGAAACCACCCTTCAAATATTAGAATATTTTTTATTTGAAAACCGGTGAGTTTTTCGGAAAAACTCTTAAACACGTATATTTTATTTTGTTGTTTTACATATTTTAAGATTTTTTAAAAATTTATACAGGGTGTTTCATAAATATAACCACTGAGTAATCACGATTCTGCTTAAACTGCTTGACGTTTAAAGCTGATTTGGAACGGATTGACTGTGGGGTGTAGAGGTTCGATAAGGTGGGGTTTCTCGAAGTTCAAATTCCAAGAGGGTGAAAACACCCCTCAAATATTTCAATATTTGCTATTTAAAAAACGGTTAGTCTTTCGAGAAAACGCTTGGACACGCATAATTTATTTTGTATTTTTACATATTTTGAAATTTTTTAAAAAATCATACAGGGTGTTCCAAAAAGTTGGCTAATTGATTAACCACGATTCTGCTTAAACTGCTTGACTTAAAAGCTTATTTTTGGCAAACGGATTTTTCGAAAGTCAAATTCCAACAAGATAAAACTATCCCTCAAATATCACCAAGTTATATAATAATATCGCCTTTATCATCACTATTACAAATGATTAATTCGACGCGAACGAAGTCGCGGGTACACGCTAGTAGAGTGTACAATTTTTTTTGTGAAAAATGGACAATTTCCAGTTTTTTCAATAATTACCACAAAATATTTAATACCTCTCTGCCATGCGATTTTACAAAATTTCTATTTGTATTGCTGCTCAGAAAGTGCGTTAATTTTTCAATGCTTTTAACGGGAAAATCCGATTCGCTCAGATTCAACACAAAGTCCCACTTCCAATCTTTGACATTCAACAGTTCGAACATGCAAGATCGGAGCATTGCAAGAAGCGAAGCTCCACCCCATATCGTGGCGAATCTCTTCCTTGTCAATTTGATGTTCCTAAATTTCTCTAAGGGCAGTAGTTCCCGAAATAGGTAATCTTGTCTCTAGAAAATGTAATAAATTAGGATTTAAGGTGAGTTATGTTATGCATCCATAATGCGTCCGTCACTCCAATCATATTTAAGTATGAGCTGTCATTTTTTAAATAAACCAATAAAATTGCATAAAATCAACGACGCATTACGGATGCATGTAAACCTACACTTATGCAGGCATATAGAGAATGTCACTGGCTAATCTTGCATTAGAAGTTACTAGCCTTGTTTATATATTCTTAAAGCTGTTCAACCGACTAGACAAAATGTGCTGCCAACTGGAGGACAAATCGTGAACCTTTCGGGGCGGAGTCAAAAATATCGATTATTCTCCTCAGAGTAATATAGCCCGGGTTTCTGCGAACTTTAATAGTGATCAGCTGATTAAGAAATTTAAACGAAACTTTTATTTTACTGTAAATTGTGGATTATTTTTGCCTGTTATTTTAAGAATTCTAAACCGTATTAACAAAGAAATTATTATTTCGATATGTTGGTACATTATTTATAGTTTATGATAATGCTAATTGCTATTAGTAAATATTTAAAAAAAAGTTACATACCTATTTTAATTTGATTTAATGCAAGTTTATAAAAGAATCATTTCATTCTTAGATTATTTTATTCTAAATTGAGTGCTTTACGAATTTTACAATATTTTTTTTTGAAAACATAAAACTTTACATTTTTGATGCCAACTAATTGGCATGGTATTATTGGTATGGGAATTAGCCAAGAAAGAAAAGAATTGGCTATAACTTGTAATTTTTCGAAAAAAACATATTATACCTATATCGCTGAAAAGCTTAAAGAATGGCGCTTTTTATGAAATCATGGCTAACTAGGGTTTCCATTTAAAAAAAACATAATGTTTGTGTCATATGTCAAAAATGACAGGCTTTAGAAAAAAAAACAGAAAACACAAACGCATTAGGTATGTAATTATCTACAACTTTTATCGATCGATGATATTTCCCATATAATTTTACATATAAAATGACAACGATCTTCATTTCATAGCCATTGTTGACGCCGTTTTTATTCGATCATACGGTAGATTATTATGGAATTAGAGACAAGTTTTAAAATAGCCAAAATTTGTTTTTTTCGAAATGTCTAGTAACTTAACCTTGAACTTCTCAGAAAAATCCGAAAGGCGCATATTTATGACCCCACAAAACTGCAATTCTTTCCCCATTTATCCGACTCTCTATCTAAAGTAGTTTCCGAGATACCCATAGAGAACATCGTAGGAAACTCACCTTGTATAGTATTTAGAAACTAACTATTATTATTATTTGACTAGATTAATTTGATTAATAAGACTCGATTAATTTAATTTAAAATAAATTTGATCTGATTTTTTTTTTCGTATATTCTACTACCAGAAAACCAAAATTATATGATAACGCACTTTTCAACGAAGTTGAAGGAAGATATGTATCTATCACAATACTTAATTGAATTACTACAATTAGAAGAAAAACAAAAAGAAAAAATACCCAAATACCTTCACCTACTACTCATCTACAAAATAAACGAATATAATCTCTTATAAAAACACTAAACAACTACTTCTTGTATTTTACACCGAAAAAATTATCAAACTTACTAATTAATCAAACAAAAAGAAAAAATAACCAAATTATCCCTTCATCTACTACTTCACTACAAAATAATAAACTATAAAAACACTACTAAACTATTTCTGGTATTCTACACTAAACATTATAATTAAACTTAATAAAATTAATCTAATTTTACACTACAACCACTACAACTATAAAGAAATAAGAACATTTTTTAAAACTAGAAGAAACAGAACTTCGATACGTGCGACCAGTATAATAGATCAAGCGGACAAAGAATATAAAATACTTTAAAAATGTGCATTCAGAAATAAAAAATATCTCGAAAATTATCTAAACAAACTTTTTTTTTCTTATCAGTGAAAAGCATCGGCCTCGTCGGCCTTGCGGAATTTGTCGGGTATTTACAATGGTCGAATTGTATAATTACCAGCTTTTATAGCATATCTAATAGATAAAAAGTATCTGGTCGATTAGTACCCAATTGGTACAGTCCGAAAATTATCGATTTTTATTTTCTCTGTTTTTATTGGTCGCTTCAAAATTCAGAGTAACAAAAAATATTTTTCTGTAGTAAAAGACTGTGAAATACGCCCCGCCATCTGGTGCTTTACATCCATAAACGTTTTAGGTTGAGCTACTTTAAAAATTCATATACAAGGTTACTAGAGAATTAAAATATATAGATCGTACCAAATAAACTTTTAGTAGCGTGATTAAACTTGAGCTGCACAGCGTTGCCAACTTTCACATATTTTCTTCTAATCAAAATATTTTAGGAAACAAAAATAAATTAATTATAAATATGTAAACAATTATTATTTACATCAACAAAACTCACCTCCTTAACAGCACTTAAGGGACATAAACGGCCATTACTAGTGATGTTAATATTCCAGAAATTTTTGATTGTTGCAGGAAATTTCCGAAACTTTCGGAAACTTTCGGAAATTTATGAAATTTTTGGAAATTTTACAATTTTACATATTTTTTGTTGATATAATAAAGGAATAAATTAGATAGACATTTGATACCAACATGTAAGTGGAAAAAAACAATAAACATAATATTAGTTGTTATATTGTTAATAAACAATACATAACTCATAAAAGTCATAAACATAACACATAACAAAAATCATTTGGTAACATTTATACTTTGTACATAAACCATGAACTGTGACTATGAACTTAAAAAAAAACAGAAAAGCACGAAATATAAATTTAAAAAACGTAAAACACAAATAACTGAATTATTCTATTCCGGAATACTTTCGGGCGCGCTGAGCTGGTCCCATCTTCATAGGGTATTACAGTAGTAGTAGTACTGACTTCGTCAGTTTCTATTTCCAAATCAGATATATTTGATGTATCATCTGGTTCTGATTCTGAAGGATGGACCTCTACGGGGTTTAGTGGTTCTGGAGGAGTTTCATGTTGTTGAATATCATGCTCCATATCCACTTTTTGTTTTTGTAGTAATAATTTATTGTTATGAGCTACGAACATTTTTTTGCCGGCTCTTTGTGCAGTTAAGCGATTCCTTTTTTTTAGTATGGATAAAACTGTAAGTATTGAAACTTCTCTCAGTGGCTGCAGATGACGTTAGAGCAACAGCTAAATATTTCAACTGAGTATTTTTACACACTGCTTGCCACCAACTTAGACAGTCTACATTTTTAACTGACATCCAAAGGTAGACGAGAGCCCATAAACCCGATTTGGCGCAATAATTTGTTATATCTGTATAAATGGCTTCTTTATTATTGACAAACTGAGGATGTTTGTTGATAAATTCCATAGCGGCTATGTGTTCTTCATTGTTAAGGTGCTCTCCCAGGAAACAGAGGGGTCCAAGAGATTCGCGGCAAAATGCATTGGTTTAAGAGCCATACGTTTTCTATTTTGTAAGGCAGAGAAGCATTCTTTTTCCTCTGATTTAAGAATAGGCATACTTGATACGCTTTCGTTAAATTTTTGCTCAATGTCTTGAATTTTGAAAAGAAATTTCTTGCACAATTCGGATTTTTGCGAATATTCGCGATTTTGGGACCGAATATTTCGGAAATTTCTGAAATTTCCTGCAAAATTCGAATGGAAATATTCGCTACCAACATCACTAGCCATTACTACCGCTTTTCCCTTCAAAATATTCTAATAAGGTTGCGATGAATTTTTTGCAACGGCTATTAAACTATCTTGTACACTTCGCACTAAAAGAGGTTTTAAAAAGAACAATGTTCGACTGTAATGTCTGCTAGTAGAAAAATTAAGCTTAAAGTATTACAATACAATTCATATAAACCAAAAAATCGTAATACAAAACTAAAGTGTCAAAATGAATGAGAATGTCAGAAAATAAATAAATAAATGTGTCAACTTGACATTTTTTACAGCAGAGCTACCACCTGAATTCCCAGCGGGAAATTTAAATTCCAGTTAGTCAGCCTGGCGTCGAATATCTCCATGGTTGGCAACAATGAATTTAAAAATCGCGCCCTCGATTACGTAACTAAAAGTTTAATTGGTATTGCTTATATGGCAGAATTGAAAGGAGATGCCAGCAGTTGACAGCAACATTACACAGTAACAATTTGGTGCCCAGTGAGATTGGTCCTTGTGTTTTCAGTCATTCTTAAAACACTGTATCTTCAAGAGACGATATTCAGATATCTATTTCAAAAACAAGCTTAGATCTAGATATTTCGTTTCTCTAGAAACTTATAAAGCAAGCTCTGCCAGAGACACCCTGTATACAGGGTGTGACCCATGATTCAGAACAAATTCTATATGAAGTTTCTGGTTTGAGATTTTAGGTACTCATTACAATTATTCTTTTAAAAAGCTGGCAATAGAAAAGGTAAAGAATTATTCATGAAGACTGGGCCACCCTGTATGTAGAAGTTTTACAACATACCACATCTACATGGATATAATAAAAATGTTGTTTTTGGTACAGTATTTTTATGAGTCTCATCACTTGTCTCAATGCTCTGCCATTTAATGTTAATAAAAATACTATTCTAGAAGACTTTACATTGGTAACTGTTTCATTCGCCACCTGAGCTACAAACTCTTAAATTGGTTTTTAATAATAATGTCTGGTCTAATAGGTAGTTATAACTACTTACTCTTTATGCCGGTTTGATAAATATTAATAGTGTAATAACCTCCACATGTAGAGTGGGAATCCGCAGGGCACTTCATGTTACAGGATGAGTCTGGAATCTTAGAACTAGGAAGTGGTTCATCAGATCCACAGAAGCATTCATTTCTACAAAGTTTCAATCATTACTTATTTTAGACCTTACTTACACATAATAATTTACCCATATTGAACGCCAGCATACGGAAATCCCGATTGTAAACATATATTTATACAATATTTTGGCGAATTTTCACTTTTACTAACACCAAAATATCCATTTAATAATCTAAACTTTTTGTCATCCTTGAAACAACCCAGCTCTTTTCCTTTAACAAAATTTCCTACAGGACAGCTTGATCTCAATTCCAAGGGATACAATTGATTTTCTAAAGACTGGCACGATATATTGGCAATTACTTGTTTGCATCTTTGTGTTTTAGCTCGAGTTAAAGCGGAAATAGCTTGTTTTTCCGTGATATGGCAAGGCAGATCGAAATTTAACTCTTCGACTTTTAACTGAACTGTATTATTGCTGGTTTTTTTGGTTTGAGGGGCAAGTAAATTTGTTTCTTCGTCGTCGCTTCGACGCGCGGAATTTAAAGCCTCGTTATTCGAGCCAGAATCTCTATCGGAGTCGGATGGTTCCCATTTTTCTGGTTCTTCTGTACTTTTATTATGAGATAAAAAGTTGATTACCACCAGTATTTGAAACGACAGAATTACCATTCCTATTATAAAGCATACTCTGTACCTTCGTAGATACTTATTCTTAGATGTGCTTTTAACCATTTCACTGAATTTTGATTTGTATTTGGATTGTTTCTACTTTTATTATAAACATAACCTTTTAGCAAATACTTGTAATTTAATACGGCTTAATCTTTCAGAAAGGACTCTGTTCATGCATGTTCAAATTATGCTTCATAATAATTACAATGCTTTAAAAATTAATAAAAATAATAATTTTTCGTTAATTTAACATTAATTTTAATAACATAACAAATACACCATACACCTGTCATTTTCCATTTGGTTCTGTCCACAGAATATATGGTTCTGTCTTTCTGTCAAAAATAGACCACAGATTTTGAGTAAGGATATTAGATTTTTATACATCGCCATCTATTGTAGACTAGTAGCAATTTAATGTGCTTCTATTGAGTTATCTGAATTGTAAGTTTCTAAAAACCAATGGCGTCGAACTATTTTCTAATTTTTAGGATTATTACAGTTTTCTTGTAACGATTTCATTGGTTTAACTTCTTTTGGTTTAGAGGCGCTTTAGTTACCAGTTTGGAGGTTGTCCACCTGTGTTTTCTATGCGTAAACAAGACAAGAGACAGAAGACAGACAGATGAGACAGAGCAAGAGGAGCAAGAAGCAAGAAAAAAGATTGTGTAAAAATTTGGTAGCCATATTGTGTCACTTTATTGGATTAGTTTTGGAGTGAATATAAGGTAAAAAGTAAAAAAACCTTACAATAAGTATAGCATTTAGTAGTTACAGAGGCTTGTTCTATCTTTATGTATCTAGAATATTGCTTGAATAAGTAATAAATTTGCAAATGTTTTTTTTTTGTTAAATTTACAAATGTCACTCTCTCATTGATTATCTAATACTGCCAGTGTGTAAGTATTATACCACGATCAAATTAATATTCCCTTTGCCATTTTTGACATAATCTTAATTCGGAAAACGATATTTCGTTCACGCGTCTACAAAATACCAGCAGTTTATGATGTCGCCTGTATTGTACTTGCAGCGTTTTATACCTGGAAAGTTCTCTTGTAGGTTTACACCACAGCTTTATCCCGATGAATCCCTCGTCGTCATTCTCCTACTGGGATAATCCTCCACCTCCAGGCACAGAGTTTGACATTGACGAAGATGAGAGCCAGAAAACTGGGTCCTCGAGAAGCAAAGACAAAGTCACCGTGCAAACCGACTCGAACTTTGCCGATAGGACCAGGCACAGGTCGCGTAGCCGCAGTCCACACCACCACAAGAGAATGAAAAAGTCAAGGGGCCACTCTAGAGATCGGCACAGGCGTTCGCATTCAAGAACCCGAAGAAGGAGGAGATACTCGTCCTCGCGTTCCAGGTCGCGGTCTCGCAGCTCTAGCTACAAGCATAGATACAAAAAACGGAGTAAACGTTCAAGGTCGCGATCAAAGTCACGATCCAGAAGCTATTCGGTATCTCGATCATATAGGAGCGGCCGGGAGAGGGAGAGGAGACGCTCTCGTTCACCAAGACCGAGACGCAGTCATAAAGAACGCGAGAGGGGTGTTGAGGGTGACATTATAAAAGAGGAAGATATGAAACTGGAGGATTTGGAGGAAGAGGAGGGATCTCCGGAGCCGGAACAGCCGCCCGTGCCGTTTAAGAATGACGGCTCGTTTCTGGAGATGTTTAAGAAAATGCAGGAGCAAAAGAAAGAGGAAGAGGTGCAGGAGCAGGACGAAGCCAAGAAAGCGGCGGTGCCGGTTTTCGGAAAACGACGGGGCGGCAAAGTGTTAAAGACGGGCATGGTACAAAAAATTCGAACGCTCGAGGAGGATTCGTCGAAGGCGCAGGACCCCTGGTCGGTGTACATGAACGAAGTGCGAAAGTACAAAGAGGCGTATTGCAACGACGACTCACAAACACGGCCCCTGCTTAAATGAGGCTGGCATCTTCTTAAAATACCTTGTTCGCTGTCACTCTCAGTTAGACAGTAGAATTGTTAATTTTTTCTGAAATTGTCAGGGTTCTCAGTTGTCAATAAAAACAAATCTGAACTTTGTCATAAAAATCAATTTAATATCAAAACATACTAAAAGAAGCTCTATTTTATATTTATTGTCGGGTGAAGATTTTTTTTAATTGAAATCACTTATAAAAAAAACAACAAAACATCCAGTATATAGAAGCCTCCCCAGACACAAAATCATAAAAATTTCTCTGCGGAAATGCATCATTGTCTTTTTTCCGGCTTTAGAATAACTGAAATCAGTTACAAGAAAACGTATTTTTGCTTTACATTCTAAACACGTTTTTTGTATAGGTATGAAATTAACCTAGTAGATACTGTAATTGAAATATCAATACGTTACCGAAAAAAAAACGAAAATAAACAAAAATGAACCAACAAACCAAACCCAACCAAAACAAACCTATCCAAGGCAATTCCAAGTACCCAATACTTTTCAAATCTTGCTATATTTTACAATATTTTATCAATAAATGAAAATGGTATGCTTCGCAAGAAGTTTTTTTGTGTGTCTTTAGAAAAAATTCTAGAATGAAAAACTAAAATTTCATTTCTAAAAATGAATAAAAACATTTCTAAAAATGAATAAACAAATATTTCTTACATACCTGATTTCAAGTAAATGAAACTTGAGCTTTATTCTCTATTAGATATTTATTTAATCCCATCTAGTAGTTTTCAAATCATATCAAAATTGACAATTCAATACACCATAGAAAAAATAAAATTTAAATTATAAAAACCTACAAAACACGTAAAATCGTTAAGAAAAACAAATAAATATGCACTGAGGCCTCTGAATGACGATAATTAATGGGCAATGAAACTAGTTTTTAAGAATGCCCTAAGTTCTTTAACAATTTAATAAATAATAGACCTTCTAATATGTAGGTATTTATAAATTTAGTTTGTCTAATTTTTGTAAAATATTTTTTTTCTTTTTGTAAAAAATACTCTAAAAGGGTATTATTACTGTAAACAATTTAGTTTTGCATTTTTTTAAGTTTTTTGTTTATAATATTAATTAGAATATTGTCTTGATTTATGTATGGATACATAAAGTAATATTTATTTTAATATAAATAGTTATCCAAAAAACTGCTGGTATTACATTATTTTATGTCGAAAATGGTTCTTGCTCTTTTTAATAGTGCATTTATTATACCGGGTGCGTTTCAAAAGTGGCTCACCCCTATAACTTTTTTATTTTTTCAGTTAAAAAACGAGGTTTGGTATGTGAGTATATGACATAAATTAGGATTGATTGACGTATTCAATTGTTTTTGGTCACTTCCTGTTTCACCGGAAATGACTACAACTTTTGATTTTTAAATGGCAAAATTTTTTTACTTTATTCGATAGAAAATGACTATTCTGAATAGAATGACATATCATATGTCAACTTTTGACATTCCCGCTTATTAAAAAATCTAAATTTTAAATTTCAATCTAGAGTGCCATGGCTATGTTAAAAACACTAATTTTTAATCAAGGAGCCTTGGAAAAATAGATTTAATCGTCTGATGTTTTTAGTGTCTCGTCCTGGCCGGTTAAAAGATGCCCAAATCGTATTTTTAATCATATCTCAGTTTATTCAAATGGAACGAGGGTGGCTCATTAGCATAAATATTTGGAAAAAGCATTTTTTTACGAATAATTTGATACCACACACTTGGTATTTCGAGTCAAATTTTCGTTATGAACCGCAAGTTGTGATTTCAAATAAGCCGTATGCGAAAATGTCAAAAGTTGACATATGATATGTCATTCAATTCAGAGTGTTATTTTCTATCGATTAAAGTAAAAAAAATATCGAGGTAGTTATTTCCGGTGAAACCGGAAGTGATCGAAAACATTTGAACACGTCAATCAATCCTAATTTATGTCATATACTAACATACCAAATCTCGTTTTTTTAACTGAAAACCACTTTTGAGACGCACCCGGTATAGATCAGATTTTATAAAGGAATTTAAAAAAAATTATCTCATAGTCCAAAATACCGTATGATCGAAAAAAACTGCGTCCAGTTGGCTTGAAAATGACGATGGATGACTTTCCCCATATTAATTTTAAAATGATAGCGATCTTCATTTTATAGCCATCGCTGACGCCGTTTTTTTTTCAATCATATTGTACATAATTACACATACAGTTACATTTAAATCCAGTGGTCACTCTTCTGTAAAATTCTTAAAAATACTTAACATTATTTTAATCAGATATTACTTACGAAGATACTATACGCTCGAAAAAAAAAACGGCATTGACCTCGCCTTAATTATCATCGATTGTCATTCCCCAGCCGTCTTTGACGCCGTTTTTTTTTTGGTCATGCGGTATATCTCTACTTGTCGAAGAATAATAAAACTATTTTGTATTTTGTCAAACTGTTAACTGAGTCTAAATAATGTGTCAGTTAAAAATATAAAATATTTTTAAAAAGATTAATATACAGGGACCGATCAATATATTCGCCCCACATTAACGAAACATAGAAACTGAAATTAAAGATATATTTAAAACGAATTTTTCCATACTTTCAATACCATTTTACCAAGGATTTATATTTATATCGTAATCTTATATCATACAGGGTTTTAAAATCCTACGCCAGACTTTCTAAATTATAAAATAATTTTTCTTTGTTTCTTTTTTAATGGAACACCCTGTATATTATCTTTTGGTTAGATGGAAAATTAAAAACGAACATTTTTTGAATTTAAAGAATTCTAAAATTTTTAACAGTTTCACAATAGTTACGGTATTATTACATATCGGGTGTTTCTCAAAAGTGGCTCACTCCTATAACTTTTTTATTTTTTACAGATAAAAAAACGAGATTTGGTATCTTAGTATATGACATAGTATATGACAATTAGGATTGATTGACGTATTCAATTGTTTTCAGTCGCTTCCTGTTTCAACGGAAATGACATTAACTTTTGATTTTTAAATGGTACTCTTGGTGTTTTTTTTTTACTTTATTCGATAGAAAATGACACTGAATATAATGACATATCATATCTTTTGACATTATCGCTTTAAACAAAATTGTATTTTAAATTTCAACTTAGAGTGCCATGGCTGTGTTAAAAACACTAATTTTTAATCAAGGAACCTTGTAAAAATAGAGTTGATCGTCTAATGTTTTTCGTGTCATGTCCTGGCCAGTTAAAAGATGCCCAAATTGTATTTTTAATCATATCTGAATTTTTCAAATGGAACGAGGGTGGCTCATTAGCATATTTGGAAAAAGCACTAATAATTTGGTACCACACACTTGGTATTTCATGGCACTCTAAATTGAAACATAAAATGCTATTTTTTTTAATTGAAAATGTCAAAATTTGACATATAATACGTTATTCTAAGTATCATTTTCTATCAAATGAAGTAAAAAATACCGAACTTGTCATTCAAAAATTAAAACTTGTTGTCATTTCCGGTGAAATAGGAAGTGACCGAAAACAATTGAATACGTCAATCAATCCTAATTTATGTCATATACTCACATACCAAATCTCGTTTTTTAACTGAAAAAATTCATTTTTAACGTCATTCAATTCTAATTTATGTCCTTTATTAACATACCAAATGTCGTTTTTTATCTGAAAAAATAACAAACCTACTATTTTTCTTCGCACTAATGGGCCACCCTGTATTTACAAATAATTCTTTTTAGAAGAATGTCGGCCCCAGCAACCTTAGACCAAATTAAAACTGTGCCGTTCGACTCGCGCTTCCCGAACACCAACCAGACGCGTCACTGCTACCAGAGCTACGTGGACTACCACAGGTGCCAGAGAATCAGGGGAGCCAACTACGCACCGTGCGACTACTTCAAGAAGGTGTTCAACGCCACCTGCCCCAACTCCTGGATCGAAAAATGGGACGAGCAAAGAGCCGATGGAGTATTCCCCGGAAACATCTAATTTTTTGTCCTGTTAAATGCATATATAATCAGTAATTATGTATAGTTTATTGTAGAATTTTTGTTATCAAATATATTACTCCAAATGTAAATTATTTGCTATATTAAGTAAACCATTTTAGTAATAAATCTGGCTGAGATATTGTTATCCTAATTTTCAATTGTCAGTAAGTCGTGTCTAGGCAACCAGTAATACTAGTCTAGTAAGTTTTGAGGAAAATGGGGGAAAAACAATTGGTACTAGGAATGGCGCGATTTAAAAATATATCGATACGGTGATATCAATTATCTAAATAACTGCAACAAGTCAGTTTTAAAAAAACTTAAGTCATTTCTAAAATCAAAATGATTTAAGTCTTAATGCAATTTCAATATAACGTTGAAATGACTTAAGTCATTTTCTTTCAAGTCAAGTCGTTTTTGTAAAGACTTAATTCAATATAACGTTATTTAAGTGTATTTTTTTACTTGAGTCTTTTTTTACTTAAATCATGATAACCTGCAAATTTTAATTTTTTATTAAATCAATATAATTTCCCTCCCCCAAGTCAAAACAACCATAATTCAATTTAAATACTTATTCTTTAAATGTTAATATTAATTTTCTTGTACTATCCAAACCAAACCCATTACCGATTGTTTTTATTTTTTTATTGTATTTTTTTTTAATTTTTTATATTTTTTTGTTTTTTTTATATTAATTTATTGTAGATACAGATTAGAATAAAATATTATATAAACAACTATATAAAAAATAAACGCATCAAAGACATAAAAACACACATATAAAAACATCAACAACTTAAATAAAATTAAATTTCGTGGTACTTTGTACAGCTTGTCCCATTTTTGTGTGTTTTACAGGGTTTCTAGTTTATGAGCAGCGGTACAAAGATACGGTTTTCACAGTTGCTACTTTTTTATGAAACTAAAGATGGTGAACACATATTTGATGGCGCTGCTGTAAAAAAATTACGATAAAAATATATAAAAAAAAACTTAAAATCTTTTCTAAAAAGACTTATATCTCATAAAAGACTTAAATCTTTTGTAAAGTGGCTTAAGTCATTAAAAAAAGATTTAAATATTTTTTAATGACTTAAATCTTTTCTAAAAAGACTTAAATCTTTTAGAAAACTTAAATTTTTTTTAATGGCTTAAATCTTTTTCTATTTCGGAATAAAGACTTAAATCACAAGTCTTTTTCCGGAATTAAATTTTCTCAGCCAAAAAACTTAAAAATTACATTTTGATCTCCCCCTATAGATCTAAGAGCAAACATAGCAGGCTATATATCTCTGAACACGTTTAAAAAACAGAAAGCAATACCTTTATATACCTTTATATTATAATACCTTCGCCACGGCCTTCGCGATACGCGATCTCGCTAATTTTGTTGATTATATCTTGGATTATATCCACTTAACTTTTTATTCATTAAATGTATCGAAACAAATTATTGTTATGAACATATCGATACGTCGTTCCCATCCCTAGTTAGACCTGTTTGTCAATCGCACCGTCCGTCGCGCATTTGTCAATTGTCAACAGAGGTTGTCAAAGAAGAAAAAAAATCCCTGGTGTTTGGTATTCGTCATTATTGTGGCGAATTGAAAAACTCCTGCGTAGAGTTGTTTACTGTGAACTTACACATATTTAACAGATATAAAAGTAACATTTTATAATATAGGAGAGTGCTTGAGCGTTTATAGAAGATATATGTGTTCCTATAGTACAATACTGTTGGTGTTAGGTCGTCCTTGCTTTTGACGTTACACACCCAAGTTTCCGAAAATCGTCCGATATAATAGACTTTTTGAGGATAAGACGTTGGGAAACAGGCCAAAATGCAAGCAATAAAATGTGTTGTTGTGGGCGATGGGTAAGTAAACCACCCACAGGTGTTCTATATCTATTTGTGTATGCAATTTTTACACAATGTCATAATAGTTATGCCTTGGTTATGCCATTTTCTGTGACGAAAATTAGTCACCGTCAATTATTGTAAATAAACATTTAAATAACGAATCTTTTGTTTTGTAGTGCCGTTGGTAAAACGTGCCTGTTGATTTCCTACACTACGAATGCCTTTCCTGGCGAGTACATACCGACAGTTTTCGATAACTATTCTGCAAATGTGATGGTCGATGGTAAACCCATTAATTTAGGATTGTGGGATACGGCCGGTCAGGAAGATTACGACAGGCTGAGGCCCTTGTCTTATCCACAGACTGATGTCTTTCTAATCTGTTTTTCCTTAGTTAATCCCGCTTCATTCGAGAATGTCCGAGCAAAGGTAAGAAAAACTACGGAAAAGTAGAGTAAATCTTACTTTTACTTAATATCAATAGTTAAACTCATGGCACTGATGAATTACAGAGCTTATTTTAAAGGTAGGGAGTTGTAAAAGAAAACATTTTTTATTTTAGTGGTACCCTGAAGTAAGACATCACTGCCCGAATACGCCCATTATACTAGTAGGTACAAAATTAGATCTGAGAGAAGATAAAAGTACAATTGAAAAATTGAAAGATAAAAAGCTGGCACCAATTACTTATCCACAAGTAAGTTTCTAACATATATTCAACATTTCTGCTAAATATATCCCAAATTTTTATAATAAAATTGGGAAACAATATATTAATTATGTTGCTTTTTAATTATTTTTACGTTTTATTTTTAAAATAATAAGTAATATTTTAGTAATTAATTAATTAATTTGTTTTATAGCTTATTTTACTTTTTAATGGTTCATTACTTAACAGCTTGTGAAACTGCACTCAAACAGCAGCTACAAATTGAAATAAGTAGAAATAACTTTGAAACTGGTATAATGTGCTTACCAATCAATCTTACTTCTAGATTCAATAACAATACAATATTACACAAAATAATGACTGACATTATGATAACTGTCAAATAATAAACGACAACGTTGCTGAACACGGCGCAATGTGACCAACATCGCAATAATAAAATTCGGTTTAAACTAATTTTTGCAGTTTTAAACTAAATATTATCTGTTACAATCATTTGCCCTATAAAGTAAAATGAAGAGCGGTATCTTATATACAACAAACTTAAACATTTTTGCGAAAATTTCATTTTGTCACGTGTATAGGCTTTAGTGTCAGTTTCGATATTATTAGGTTAGAAGCCGTAGATGTAACGCAATCCGCAGAAATTTGTCATCATCGCTTTTTGTTGAAAACGATGTTTGATCGCGATAAAATGTAAATTATTAGCTATTTTACTATCTTAGTCACTGTAATTTATTTTATGTTGGGCAATTATTGTCCGTTGATAAATAAATAAACACACAACCGCAAAATCTAGGGATATTTTTTCAAAATTGCCTCTAATGGCTCATTTTTGTTCGATTTCTTCTTTTTATAAAATTTTAGTGTTTTGTGGGATAAAATAAAATAATTTAAGTAAAGGTAAACAAACTGAAATATCGATAAGGTGTTCCTTTTTGTATTTGAAAGAATTCATGGATTATCGCAGCTACAAAATAAAAATATAGGCAAAAATTAAAATATCCCTAGGCTCTACAGTTGTATTTAGTTTTATCAAAGATCATTCTTAATAAAATCAATAAGTTAGTATTAGAAACTTTGGTATTAGCGAATGCATGAGTTTTTTCCTTGTAATTTATTGTATTTTGGTTGATTTGTAGGGCTTGGCGATGGCCAAGGAAATCAGCGCCGTCAAATATCTAGAATGTTCGGCTCTAACTCAAAAAGGACTGAAAACGGTGTTCGACGAAGCCATCAGGGCGGTGCTGTGTCCCGTCATGCCGCCCAAACCCAAACGTAAATGTGTTATTCTCTAAGATTACTCTAGAACACTTTGGTACCGTTTCCGTTAGAAGTTGCAACAAAAAAACAAACTTTCTTCATTTACGTAGCGCGCTCTCATTTCGAATTATTACACGGGATCGAAGAAGATATCTGCAGTAATTCGATGTGGCAGTATACAGTATATGTGGCGGCGATTACATTAGAATAGAAAAAACTCATATAAGAACTTTAAAAGTTTTAAATTAAAATGACAAACAACTATAATAGAAGTTTTAAATTACAATGACAAACAACTATAATAGACGGTTAAAGCACGGCCAAAGACGTAGACGTAAACGTATCGTTTGACATGTACGCTCGCGCAGTGAGAAATTCACTTGCATTTACGGATACGTGATACGTATCTTTGCGTGCCTTTACGTACGTACAAAGCGCAAACGTATCGAGCCAAAGGAGTTTCGATTTCACCCGATCGATGCCGAATGTACAAATTCAAATCGATAAACATCTTTGTGAAACAGGAAATGGGCCTATTTTAATATAATAAATTAATCATTTGTACACATTTTAAGTTTTTAAGAATGGATACTTTCAATTTCAATAATATAATTTCCGTTAATGCTTTTTTATCCTTCGATATTACTTTTATAAATTTGATGTCAAATCAATGGAATAAAAAATTAAAAAGCATTTCACAAAACATTATAGAAAAACATATGTACCGGTTACGTTACGTAACATGGTTACGTAACGTCAAAATACTTGCTTTAACTCTCGTTTGCGCGACGACGCATCCACATCCGTAGCGTAAGTTTCTACGTTACCTACTAGTGATGGGCAAAACTGTTATTTTTAGATAACAGTTGAAACTGTTATAGTTATTTATAAAAATAGCTTAAAATAACAGCTTAAAAATAACAGGTTTTTTTATTTTATTGCTAAATATCTGAAAGAGTATGAGGCGGTCGTCGCCAGGCGTATTAACGCAGTTGCAAGTGGCAACAATGACGTGCTCGGTGGTAGTATTTCCAGGGTGTCAAAACATTTCTAAATATCGATTGTTATCTAAAATGGTGGTTGTTTACAAATAAGCGCTGTTTACAAATTGCGATATATAAAAGCCAAAATGCCACCACTCGTCTATACCTATACATTCCGATCTACCTACGCCCTGCCCCACGATCCGCCTGAATTGCGTAGTTCGAATTAATTTTACACTAAAATTTGCAAAGGAGAATTTCTACTTAGGTATTTATTCTGAAATTTTTTCAGAATAAATAAATACCTAAATATTGAAACTTAATAACTAAGTACTGAAATATACAGCGCCATAATATCTTGACCTCCGCCCGTTATGCTCGTAACAGGTTGAAAAACAATGTATCTAAAACAACTGATGCGTTATTCTCCAACCTGTTTCGAACCTCCATCGACAATCGACAGATGCAGCAGCGTTACTTTCCCACTCCGATTAACTCGACCGCCGCCTGTTATGCTCGTAACAGGTTAAAAAACAACGTATCTAAAATGCCTGCTTATTTTCTACACGTTATAACCCGTTGCGAGCCTCCATCGACAATCGACCGATGCAGCAGCGTTGCTTTCCCACTCCTGTTATCTCGACCGCCAGGTGTTTTGCCCGCAACTGTTTCAAAAAAGCTGCTTCTTTTATATCCTATTATTTTTAAGCTGTTGCAAGCCCAGCACGACCATCGACGGATGCAGCTACGTTCGCCGCGCCGTAGCGCATTCCCCACTCCGTTGTCCGTTGTATCTCGCCGCCTGTATCGATGGTTGTCGAAATAACATGTTTTCCATCTATACTAGTTGTTTTTTGGAATTGCTTCGAGCAGCATTGAATTTCGTGGCTTTGCAGAGCGCCGACTTCGTTTCACGAACGGTAGATCTCTACGTGTCGTTAATTTATATCTGTTATTTTTTAGTAGTAACGGTTGCGTTATGTTATTTCTAAATAATTGTTTTAAAATAACAGATAGTTAAATAACAACCCATCACTATTACCTACCCTGAGATACGTATATGCATTGTGCCATGCTTTAACTGTCTAATAAATAGTACAGTAGACATTTTTTTTAGGTTGTCCGTTATTTCCAAAGTTGATCATTTCTCTCACAACGCCCTCTAAATTTTTAGTTTATTGTCTAAAAAAATTAACAGACTATTGTAAACCCTTAATATTCACAATAAACCTTACCCCAAAGACGATTCATTTCCCATTTTACCGTTTCCCCGCCACTTTTTGCAAATATTTTTTTTTCTCTCGATCTTGTTCTCTCGCAGCCATGACAATCACATATTCTTGTACAGAATTGAACGCTCTACAAAAAAGGTCTCTTACAATTTTTCGATAAACGTATTCCTTCAAAAGTTATTCCTACCATTTAAGTATAGCTAATTTATTTTAATAAACAATGTTTATTAAAATAAATCAGCTTAAATGATTTAAACTTCATTAGACTTGAAATTTCTGAATTCCCAACCTTAACACCATCAGAATTGTATATTTTTACAGTAACAGATTAAATTTTTCAAAATAATCATAATTTTGTCAAAAAAGTTGAAGAATTTAGGAATTTACCGAGTGGTTAAATTTAACCGTGAATAATTTTTGAAGGAGTAGGTTTATCGAAAAATTGTAAGAGACCTTTTTTGTAGAGCGTTCAATTCTGTATAAGAATATTTAATGTCATGGCTGCGAGAGAAGAAAATCGAGAGAAAAAAAAATATTTGCAAAAAGTGACAAATTCCCATGTAATTTAAATGGGAAATGAATCATCTTTGGGGTTTATTGTGAATATTAAGGGTTTGCATGGTCTGTTATTGTTTTTTACACCCTAGTAGACATGTTCCAGAGATAATGGCAACGATATACAGTATTAAGGGCCGTTTAGACTATCAGATAATTTGCGCAAACCAAACTGCACCAATAAATTGTAAAGTGTAAACAAAAATCCGGTCGAGATATTAAAGTGAGTATTTCGGGGGATCTTTATTTATGACTGATTTTTTGCATGACTAATGATTAAATTAAGCATGGAAGTCATTTTTCATAGATAAAGGAAACAAGTTTAGATTGGAATGCGCGGCTTGCCGCCAAAACCTATAGTTGTTTTGGAGCGCATCCGTTGTAGGGCGCTGCTATAGCGGTTGTTAAGAACAACCGCCAAACAAGAACAGAAATAATTTTCTCTCGTCAAAGTCAGAATTTGTAAAAATTGTAAACCGCCCTCATTGAAAAAAAAGTGGCATTAAAAACTTAAAAAGCTATGTGAACTGTGAACTGCAAAAACCATCGTGGATCGTGGCGGTTTTCAATGTTTTATAGGTATTTCATACATGTCCTTAAATAAAATAGAGTTTCTTATATGCAACACACTGTATTTTATTTAAGAAATTAAAAGAAAATAATAAATTTGAAGAAATAATATTTGGCGACATAATTCCGGAAAAAGCCGAACCGCTCCGAAAGTATCAAAAGCTTTGGAGAGCGACCGTTATATGAATAGCGCCAAATAGTATTTACGTTGTCCTTATGGGAACTTTCCAATCTAAACTTGTATCTTCAATCTATGTCACTTTTGAAATTTTAACGTTTGGTCGTCATTTTGTAATTTAGTGACGCATGTTTGAAAATGCTAGAATCACCCAACCGCATACTACAGGACGATTCTAATTTAAAATATTTTGTGATAAAAAATATTAAAAAATTGTTAAAAAATAAAATTTTCAAAATCTTTTATTTAAGGCAATAAAATCTACATCTAAATATATAAAATTACATTGCACTATTAAATAAAGAAACGTTAAAAAAAGAAACAGCAAGTAAAAACTAATAAAGACATAATATAGAAATATCATATGAATTCCAACTAAGGCATTAATACACAAATTATTATTTTTCTGTTATTTATCTAATTCTTCATCTGAGTTACTTAAAATTTCAAAAGTGAGTTCCATGCTTAATTTACACTATCTGCTATAGTCTGTCCAATGGGATGATCCTTAACAGTGACAGTTGTGTCTGTTATTTTACTTCGCAAGCAAATTGTATTTTCTGTTATTTTTGGATGTCGTCTGTCGAAATCACCCCTGATTCCTTGGACAGACTATATCTCTTCTATCTCGTGTTATACAGGGCGATCCGAATTGTATTCCGGAAACTTCGGCAGTATATTCTGCAGATAAAAATAAGTAAAAAAGTTCTCATAAATAAATGTATGTCCTAAAATGCTTAGTTTCGGAGATACAGGGTGTAGAAGTTTCGTTTTTATTTCGATTTTTTCTAAACAATTTTTGAAGTAACCTCAGTATTTCGTTGAAAATTGGTGTCTGGGAGTTTTTTGCATATACATATAACTACCTATACTCAGCCTAATCTCCAAAAAGTGAAGCCCAAACAGTGAAAGAGAAATATGGAATTCTGCATAAGTCTATTTCACCCGGATAATAATTTAACTGCGCATGCCTTACCTGAAGAAGTTTTCCTTGGTCGGTGTTTTTAAAGGGAAGTGGTTGACTGACATTTCACCTAACCTTCAATTTTATTTATATTTTTATTATTTATAACACATTATCATGTAGTTGGAAAAATATCAAAAAATAGTTGGAAACAATAAACTAAACAAAATCACTCTTTTACGCGCACAAATAAAAAGTAATTCAAACAGAACACAATCGGAGTTTGGCGCAGTCGCAGTTCAATCCATATCCGGGTGAAATAGACTTATGCAGCATTAATATGGAGCTGAGTTATGTTGTCTTTTTCTTACGGCACGGAAACAGCACACGGGGTTAAATAGGGAACACTGAGTATATTTTTAAGTTACATGTATATGGTTTTTTGACATGAGAAATTTGATTTTGATGTCAGTATGACTCCTATTTCTAGGGGGCGCCACCTACATGTCTTTTAACTGTTTTGAAGAGTAATAACTTTTCGTCTGTGTCTGTTGAAAAATACTGAGTGAAAAAATATACAGTTCTGTGACTTTTTACGTAAAAAAGGTCTCTTGGTTA